AACACACAAAAAAAACCCCGTCCCCAAAAAAAAAAAAAAAAAAAAAAAAAAAAAAAAAGCTAAGAAGGGGGAAGGTTTTGAGCACAAGGACTAGAGGATGCAAAAGTATATAAGTGGAGCAGGGAACATGGTGAGACACAAAATAGATGGATGTCCTTCAGCTCAGTAGAGGAAAAACAGTAGCAAGCAATATATAAACCCCAAAAGAGAAAAAAATAAGGGAGGTAAACAGGAACAGAAATGTAAAACATGACAGCCGTTTCAACTCCACCAGTCATTAAATAATTGTAAATGGCTTATGTTTGTGACATCCTCGCCATGTTTTCAGAAACTATAATGACCTCAGAAATGCTTGCAGCTGACATGGAGCGGGGGTGGGGGGAGGAAGATATTAATCTGTAAATACATGTGGTTCTCATAATAAAAGTTACATCCCAAATGTGTAGTGTGGTCCTCGGAAAGGTGGGGGAATTTAAGTGTGGTTTTCAACTTACTTTTCTGTGGTTTTCAAGTTTTACACAATAAATGTCTTTACTTTTACATGTATGAAAAATGTTGCTGAGGGGGCTGGCAAATGGCTCGGTGGTAAGAGCACTGACTGCTCTTCCAGAGGATTCAAGTTCTGTTCCCAGCCCTTAAGCCTGTCTGTAGCTCTGGTTCCAGGAGATCCAGTGCCCTCTTCTGACCTCCAAGGCCACCAGCTATGCATGTAGCACATACATACGTGCAGGCAAAACACCCATACACATAAAAATAAGCACATCATTAAGAGGTATATTGATGAAAGAGATGGGGGGGGGGGGGGGGGGGGGGGGGGGGGGTGGAAAAGAGTTGTAGAGAACGTCAGAGTCTCAGAAAGTTTGAGTTGGCTTCTGGGAGTGTTGAGATGGAGGAGGCGGGTGTCCCCTCTACCTCACGGGCCTCTATAGATAGTGAGTGCCATTCTTTCTTCAGCTGCCTGGCAACATGTCTTAGAGCCATCCTCAAACCACTTCCCTGGCTTTTCCAGGCCTAGGTCCAGCTGCCTCTTCCACCTGTCCCTCCTCCCCCTGGGTCCCGGCTTTCTCTGCAGGTCCCAGCACCATGTTCAGCAATTGTTTTCATTTTTTTAGAGGAGGTAAGGTTTATTTGGAGTTACTGGTTTTGCTTTGTTGTGAGACAGTCACAGTCTTACCATGTAGCCCAGGTCTCTTGGAACTTAACTCTCCTCAGCCATGCCTGGCTGAAGTTTTATTTTAGTTTGAATTGGTGTGCAATAATTATTCAGTTCTATGGGGATACATATATATATATCTCAGTATATGCACAATGCATAGTAATCATATCAGGGTAATTAACATGCCCATCAACTCAGACTTTTCTTTATAGCGAAACATCCAAAATCCTTTCTTCTAGTCATTTTGAAACATAAACCATGAACCAGCCCTGCTGGCAAAAACGAGTAGCTCCTAGAACTTGGGAAATGGTACAGAAGGATTGGGAGTTTAGGCTCATCCTGGGCTGCAGAGCAAGCTTGAGGCCCTCCTGAGCCACATGAGAACCTGTCTCAAAAAACAAACTGTGACCCACAGTCATGCTTATTGGGATGGTAGGACTTCCTCCTCCTGGTCACAGCTCTGTACCCTGAGCATCAATCCTTTCTCCAGCTTCTGAGAAATTCTACTCGACTCAGTAAGATTTACTTTTAGATTCCACATATAATTGAGACTATAAACACACACACACACACACACACACACACACACACACACACGAGTACTGACAGAGACTCTAGTTGGCCAAACTCTTGAACTTCCTGCCTTAGCCTTCCAAGTTCTAGAATCACAGGTTGTGTTGTGAAGAGACACTGTGACAATGGCAATTTATAACAGAAAGTAATTAACTGGGGGCTCATCATTTACAGTTTCAGAAGGTGAGTGCATGATCATTACCGTAGGAAGCTTGGCAGCAAGCATGGTGCTTGCTCTTTTTTTGTTTGTTTTTTGTTTGTTTTTTGTTTCTTTTGTTGTTTGTTTGTTTGTTTTTGTTTTTTGAGACAGGGTTTCTCTGTGGCTTTGGCGCCTGTCCTGGAACTAGCTCTTGTAGACCAGGCT